TATTTCATACTTTACTTATTGTTTAACTGCAGTATAAACAATAATAAAGAAATAATCAATAAAACTGTACATAAAAATTAAAAACAAATTACTGTATTCTACAGAATATAAAATGCACTCCCATTTCAATACAAAATATTTAGAAAAAATGTATTTAGTATATTTAAGCCATCCTGCACCTTTGCACTTAACCCCAAAATTTTTATTATTATATTCTGGTTAAAAACATAAAATTAGGTTGCACATGTTTATTTATCAAAAAAAAAATTTTTTTAAAGAAGTCATTTACAATTAAAATTTACATTAAAATATTCAACAAAAATACATGCAAAAGTTGCTCAGCTAAAGCAAATATATTCAATTAAATAACATTTTTATTCAAGAGTTGGACTAGATAGTGGTTAATGTAACCTAATAAAAGTTATTTGGAAAATTCATTAGCCAATGGTAGATCACATATAAGACACAGGAATATTTTGGACAAAAGTTGAGTCTTATAGGCAATAAAATATGGTATTAAGTACAGTAAATACCTCACTCTACCTAGGAACAGATTATATTGCCATAAGATTCATTTAATATGGAATGATTCACAGTAATATAGTCACTGCCAGCTTAACATATATAAGAAAATTTATAACTATACAGAAAAACATTTTAGCTGCAAAAAATAATAGTAAAAATTTAGGTTTAGCACCTTCTTTTTCTTTCATCCTTGTATTTTTATGGATTTTTACGATCTATTATTATGTCAATTCTAATTAAATTGTAGGTTAAAAAAATTCCCTGTTAAAATGAATCATCAATTTTCCTATTAAATATATTCCTCAAATTATGCAGATTCAATAATGTGGTATTTTTCAGAAACACGTTAACCACAACTAACTGGAATACTCCTGTATACTATAACAATGGAAAGTCTATCAGTTATTTTATATGAACAAATTTTATAATTCAAATTTTCTCCCATGTACAAAAAACATTTATCCAGAAAAAGGATATGATAAAATTACATATTGAAAAAGCTATGTATTTTTTACATTAATTATATAAACAGAATATGCAAGATTAAGCAATTAATTTTCTTTAATAGACTATTTTAATTAAAAAATCAGATTTTCTGCTGATATGATTAATGCCAAATATCAATAATAGCTATTAGAAAATTATTCTTTTCAACATGAAATTTTAAACACAGATAATATGAAATTTAATAAAAAGGTAAATGATTCTTAAATATTTGTCAGCAGTAACATAAAAAATAGTTTCAAAATGGAATAGAGATTCTTTCTTTGTTGATTTTTTAAAGTGTATTAAGTATAGGAGTTTTAATAATTTAACACTTTAACAACTTGAGTAACTTAACAGTAATTGTCAGTATGATTAGGAGCAGTAATAAGACAAACATTGCCAAACAAGCAATAGATGAAAGCCAAACAGGCTTGTGTGTTATGTTAACTGAATTTAATTAATGTAAATTTTTTCATATAATGTAAATTCAAATTTAATGTAAATCAATTTTTATTTATTTATTTATAAATAAAAATTGATCTGAAAAAATCATAATAATTTCTTATCAAAACAAATCTAATTAATTTAATAACCATAGTTACCATATCCAAATAGACTTATACAATAAATTATCATTAACACAACTAATAATTTAATAAATATGTAATAAAAGTTAAATATTTACCTACAATATTTCCTCAATTAAACCCCAGGGAGTTTATTTTTAAAGCATACATATCCCCAGGTTTTTTTCAAGGCTGGGGTTTATTACTTTGCAACAGGAGACTTAACAGATAAAAATTAAAAAAAATAGGTTAATTACTCATACATTTTCCAAACTACCAAAACTGTTTATTGAATGTATTTATGGATTACAACTACAACATTTGATTCATTACTGTTTTCATAGTTAACCCAATTCAGCATCTTCCAATTTGGTTACAACTTACATTGTCAATCATATCTGCTTCAACTACCATCTCATTCAAATTCACTATCCCTTTCCAAGAGATGGTGAGTTTAAAACAGTTTTCCTAATTACCTTTTGGCTAATAAGTTCTAGATTTATGAACTGACTCATGAATTTTCCACATTCAATATTTGACAATATTTATAATTTTTATCAACAAATGTTTCCATGAACCTTGGAATAGAAAGTGCTGTCTGACTAGACAATTTGAAATAGAATTTTAGTTAAACTCCTTACCTGTCACTTTAAACTACATTACCCTGTACAGTGCAGTACTCCATGTTATTTAAGTCCCAGGGTTTAATCAAGGAAATACGGAAAAGTCAAAGAAATGCATTATATAATAGATAAAAATAATAATAATTCACTATTAAGTTAAATGAATCTCAATATATACGATTAATTAATAAAATATCAAAATTATTAAATATATAAAATTCTGGATAATAATAGTAAGAAATATAACAGCAGGAGAGTCTGTCTATTATAATCACAAATATTGTTATCAGTCATTTAATGTTATCAAATTAACATGTCCCAAAATATACAGTGAAAATACAATAAGTAAAATTTTAAAAGTGTAATGGTAATAATAACTGAAAATATATCTTCGGTTCAGAAAAATAGACATTTTCCATCTCTATTTTTGTACTATAAGTCTCAACACATGGCTGATAATGTTTATATGTTATCAGTTAGCATTATCTATCTTAACCAGTACTTTAACCATAGATTGGACTAGGGAGTCTACCTGAAGAAACAGCAGACGCTTCTGGTAGACCCTTGAAACAGATGCTTGTAACTATTGACTGGGAAATACCATTCCACCTGGTTTGCTCCTTACACCCTTCTGAAAAAACTGAAAATAAGAAGGAACTTGCTACATAATTTTTAAAATAGCAGATTGTCATCTGTTGCTGTCACCTTTTTTCATGTCAATGCAATCACTACTGGTCAAAAGTAATTTTTGGTAAACTGGAGAATCCATAAATTTGTGAACTAAAAAAATTGACATGCATATCCGTTCACACCAATAAAACAACCTTTTTCCTATGAAAGTGTTCCTGTGTGATATGTTCTCAACGGCAACATTACGCTAAGAAAATACATATACCGTAGAGCGTCGTTTATCCGAAAGCATTCCAGTCGGCAAATTTAAATTTTCGCTAGTGCTGTGGCGCTACAATCTCTGGCTATATCTTGGGCTCTCCAATATTTGTTTTGTGAGTGTGTGTATTTTAACTGGCAGCACTGACACTTTTGTGTGGTGTTTTTCTGAAGACTGTGTGTCGTGCTGAATCGAATGTATTTGATACTAGATCAACTTCTAAAGTATATTTTTTTTTTGTTTTTATATTTTTCAATATATTTATTTTATTTGTACAAAATAAAAAAATAATTTTTAAACGATACAATAGCCATGATTATTATTTTAAAAAGTTTACGTTAGGCTTAACATCGACGAAAATTCAATGCGAAGCGACACGCAACAGACAAAAATTTCAACATGGGATAGGTTAATATATTTTTTCGTACATAATTGGTTATCCGAACAACCCCAGTCTCCAATTGATTTGGATAAACGACACTCTACTGTAATAGAGAACAAGAAGCAACCAAGATTTTAAAAAATTGAGGTTCAAGTACTGAACCTTGAGTATTATCTGAAAAGAACATTTTCAGAAAATATGTTTTTTGATTAATCTGAATGATGTAAAATTATAATTAGCATGTTCAATGTGTTCTACATTAATAAAGCATCATGTTTAATCATACTTTATTTTATCAGGCAGCATTCAAAATGAACAGAACTAACCTGAATTACTGCTGCCAGGACATAGGTCTACTGGCAGAACCTTTGTTCATCCAATTTAAATGCAAAAAATTTTATTTGTTCACAGTACTGTACAATAGTTTAAATTTCTAGCATTTCTTACTTCAATCATACACTAACTTTGATTAGAGATGATAGCAAACCAACAATACAGGTATCTCTTGATTAATGTGGTTAATTAATCCCTCAATCCTACCATGTACTGTACATCAAAATTGGGTTAATCAAAATGTATATTAAAACTTTTGTCGTGTATATAAATGGATTGCCGTAATTGATTTTACATGTTAATCAAATCCTGCATTAAACAAGGGACACCTCTACTAAATGAAATGCATATTAATTAATAAAACTTCAAGTTATAACATTTTTAATTATTATAACAAACCCTTTTAATGTCAGTCAATAAAACCAGGGCTGTAGAGATAGTATACAAATGCTTTGACTCCTCAGTTTATGGTAAATATCCAACTCCATCTCCTTTATTTATATATCAATATAAAATATAAATAATAATGTATTATCTGTGAAATAAGAAATTTTTAACATACATTATATATATTACATTCAGAGTTGATCCATTTTTATCCATTCCACCTAACTCTATAGTCCTGGCAAAACTAGATCTGTACTTTTATTTACTTATTCCACTAATTTTATCACTTACAGTTACCAATATGAAAGAGTCACAAAATGATTACAATAAATGAATTCCACTGTATTTTATAGTTACATATAAACATTTCAAAAAAAAGAATAAAACAATAAATACAAATAATTAACTGGAAAAAATAATGATTATTCAAGAAATTCTAAATGATTGTTTTTACTTGAAAGCAAATTTGTTTTAATTCAAGAAATAACTTACATTAGATTTAAATCTAAAAATTGATATGCCTACTTTAAAAACTGTAAAAGACATACTTAAATTTCTATTTTATTAAATTCTTTAAAAACACTGTTTAATCTTTGTAAATTAGTTATCTATTGAAAATAGTTTAAAATAAAACAGTGAAGCAACAAAAATCATTAATAAAACAGTTCAAAGTTGTTAATTTTGTAATAAACTGTTCGTGTATTATCATTACATTTTATGACAAGAAAAAATTTAACAATAGTTTAAATTGTAAATGATCATTTAAACTTTAAATAAAACAATATAAAGTATTTATGAAAATTTTTTACCTTTCATAAAGTTTTTCTTTATCCCATTTGAAATGATTTAAAAGTATCCTGGTTATTGTTGGAGGAATCTAATAATAATAAATACATATTTTTTAGAATTTATTTAAAATGTGTATCATTAAATTTTTATTCTAAATACTAGAATTCAATATTTATTATTTCTCTGGGAAAAAAAAACTATTGTAAATAGAAACTAATCTATATTTAATTATTAAGGACATTAGCATTTTAACTATAACTCTATACAGACAACCTGTATCAGTACATATCTACAAAAACTGCTAGAACAAAAGTTTTGCATAATCCATATTACCATATACTCCACACCTCTGACTTGCTAATCTACAATTTAAAAGGTACTGTCTCAAATTTTTCATTTTATTTACATTAAATGTTCACTGTAAATATAATTATAAATAAGTGAAGTGAATCAAACTGCATATTTGAGATGGAACTACCTAAACTATACTGTACTGAAAAATACAAACTGGCTGTTGAATAATGATATTTTTTAAATCATTTATATTTATCAAATATTAATAGAATATATAAGAAATATCCTGTTCCCCTCAAACCTCCCTAGTTTTAAACTATTCTGCAAAATCCATTTATTGAGGTATGTGAATAAAATGTGACAGAGAATGTTGACCAATACCCCAAGTTTCATGTGTATGAATTTGAAAGAGCTACTGCTGCTGCACAATCTAGATCAGTCAATGAAGCCCCATTTCTTGGCCCATTCGATCACCTGACATCACCCCTTTGAACCTTTTTTTTTTTGTATGTTATGTCAAGAATCACATGTATGCTACAAAGTGTCAGACATGAAAGCCCTGCATGCAAGAATTGTGAATATCATTAACTGTGTGACTTCTAACATGCTGGCTCAGACATGGGTCAAAATCAAGTACAAACTTAGTATATTATGTGCCATATTAGGAGCACACATGGAAATATACTTTAATATAGGAAGTAACTTTTTAGGTGCACTTTCTATTACTATTGTCTGCAACAGGAGGTGAAACAAAAAATTTTAATCCTGATAATATCTACAGTATACATAATGTTCGAAAAGCCACATGTTGGTCAAGACAAATAGGAGCAATCTGCCAGTGTAGCTCTGAAAGAATACTTGTCCTAAAAGATATACAGTAAACAAGCAATAAATAAATTGCTGTTTATGTTAACACTGTTAGTTTTACTAATAAAGTTGCAGACAGACTCTATATTATCCAATGACATGAGTTTGAGAACAAATCACTTAGTTTTTTACAGTGAATAAGTTAACATATTCTAAAATCGATGCTGGTTTCAAAATAGTTCATTGAGTGTTTACATAGAAAGGAGGAAACTACCAAAAACTTAAAAGCTTTGAAGATACAAATTCAAGTAAGAGTGTCTAATAACATTAAAGCACAGATTGATTTACAGAAAATGAATAAGAAAAAAATAAATTTGAATCATGTATGCCTTTGGTAATTTTGGAAACAAAATTACAATGAAGTTGTCCATGGCACATGAATATCTAAAAAGCCATGAAATAATTTCTCACAATTTTTATAACTATTGGTAAAATTAGACAAAGGAAAAGATGATGCATTCTAATTGCAAGTTAAATTCAGAAAATAACTTCTTATTATTGCATAATCTACAGCTACTTTCAAATTGATTTAAAACTCAGATAACCCACAAATTATTTGAACAAATTTACAGTAAAGATCAGTTTATAGTCAAATGGCAGTGTTGAGCTTCAAGATTGTTAGCCATTGCTGAAGTTAATAAGATCACCACCTAGTTTTTAGCACAGAATAGCATTTGCATCAAAACGTCAAAGCTGAACATTGTTTAACTCTGAAACTGTGTTGCATGACCAGAAGTGAGCATCTATAGTTTAATGTCTAGTGAAGCAGAGGACAGCAAACATAACAGAACTCAGAAACTCTGCTGGCAGTTCCAGGTTACCATTGGACTGTAAACTAACCCTAATATATTCACAGAATTTTTAGTTTTTACCGAGAATTTTAATTTCTTTCTATGGAAAAAGTTAATTAAACTGTTCTTAAAATTGAAGAAATATTCCATGTTTCACTGTATTGTAGTTAGTTAAAAATGATTTGTTTTTATATATTAAATGTCAGTTTTCTATTGATAAAATTCCCATTTGTAATTAATATAATCTTACAAAAGTGAATAAGAAAAAAAACTACAATCTACAAATCATCTGAAAATAATTTCATGATCTTCCAGTATCTACAAAACAATCACCAATTACAAATATTACATACAAATATTACATACAAAGTGTGAATCATAAAAATATCAAACAAATTTTTCACTCAAATTCAAATGCATATTTTTCAACATTTAATCAAACAAATGTTGGGAAGAGAGTAGTAAAGTCCTCACACTCATTTCTAATTTTGTAACTCCAACAATTGTCACAAAACACAATTAAAAATTATTTTAATTTCATTTTTAAATACAATTTTTTAACTTTATTCTATTTTATAATTTATACTCAATAATAGTAAAAGATCTTGCTGGTTCACTCTGAATACTACAGACTAAAGACAGTTCTACTTTGAATCTGTTCTTATGGTCTGTGGACTGTCAAGATCCATGAAACTTACACAGGGGGTCATCAGCATCTTATGAATTTTTTTGGTAAATTTTATAAAAAGTAATCAAATAATGTTTTTACTTATTTAAACACATGCATAATATAAACTCAGACCATGCATGTGTTTTTATTTGTGACTTTTCCTGAGCCAAAAAGACAATTTTTAGTTATAAACAACAATTATCTAGACAAGGTTTTCAAAAGCTTTAATCCAATATCTACAATACCTGCAAGATAAATTCTATGATTACTTTTCCATTTCAAGTACAAATAAAAATTGCATTGAATCCTTTTGCAGTAAATATTAACAAAACAGAGATTGACAAGAAATGAAACAACTTGATAGAAATCGTCAATGTTTTGAAACATCAATTAAATTCAAATTCTCTTCTGAATTTTTGTAGTAAATGGTTTATTATGTGTACATCCAAAAATATTGCACAGAACAATGAAAATATTAGTACCATACTTAAGTAAAAGTTGACATTAAAAATAAGTATAAGTATAAATATTTTGATCATTTACTTTTTTTAGAAATATTTTAATGGTTTTACTCAACCTGGCTTTTTGTGTGAGTTCCCCAACGTTTAAACCATAATCTATTTTGCATTTTTACCCCTTCTTTTAGGCTAGCTCTTTCTATTAAGTCTTATTATAAGTCGTTATTTTCTATTAAGTCTTATGCCATTCTTCTCTAAACATTTGTAATGTTGAACAATTTTGACTTTTGTCATTTAAACACATATGTAAACACTTACTATATAATATGCAACCTTCTCTTTGTCTGTAATTAATTTTATTTTATACTAGCTGTACCCAGCCACGCATTGCCATGGCTCAAAATGTATCTACAGTAGAGCATCGATTATCCGACTCAATTGAGGACTGGGGTTAATCAGATAATTGAAAAACGGATAACCGAAAAGTATGAAAAAATACATTATTAGTATAGTATATTAGTATATCCCATGTAATTAGTATATTAGTACATCGCTATTAACCTACTTCGCGGTGAATTTTCATCAATGTTAAGCCTAACAAAAATTTTTTTTAAAATAATAATTGTTGCTATTGTATCGTTAAAAATTATTTTTAAATTATTTTATTGCTCACAAAACAAACAACCACTCATAATTAGAAAATTAAGCCTAGTTTAAATACTGGCCTCCCTTTCATGGTCAAGCCAGTGTTGCCAACTAAAACATGCAAAAATTTAACAAAAATAATATTATAGTAGTAAAGACATAGTCAAATATTTTAGTGCCACATCACTAGTGGACATTTGAAATTTGCCGACTAGAATGGTCGATTAACCGATGTGACAGTTGATCGGGGGTCAGAGCTCTACTGTATTATAAATATATAACACTTCCCCATGGGGGGAGTTCATTCTCTTGACATACCCTATTAAACTCAATCAGAAACACAAAAAACCACATCTAAAATAGTATAATAGCAGCCAAGTTCTTCATGGTAAGCCTTAATTTTGTCCCTCTCCTCTGTGGGGGGGGGGAATTTAGACATCTATATAATATAAAAACACTAGTGTATTCGAATGCAACATTGTGTCAAAATTTCAAAGCATTCGGTTAAGAACTTTAGGAGATTTAAGATTCTGAACAAATGAACATTTACATTTTTATTTATATAGATGTAATTTTGTTTTATCTTTTTGCTTTTTTTTTCTGTGCAATTGTTTGTTATATGTATATTTTTTTTCTTTTTGTTATTGCTTTTAAGGGTCTTTTTAATTATTGTTTTTTATTTGGGGAGGAAATCATTTGATCAGAACTTAAGATTAAATTGTCTAGTATTAAATATTTCCAAGTTTATTGTTCAGATAAAAGATTGACTTCCATATCAATTTAAAACAAAATTTTCTACTTTAAATTTTTATAGTTTATTGTCTTATGTATATTTTAATATTTTTAATTCGTCACAGCAAATAAAAAGTATTAAAATTCAAAATACTGTGTTTCAGTTTGTTATTTAAACTACAATTTCAGTTTTGAATTGCATACTTTAAAACTGTTAGGGGATCTTCAATTCCTGATTATTTGAAAGGAGGTCTGCAAAAAAATGAAAGATTAAAAGCTACTGATTTAACAAATATGTAAATGGAAATTCCTTCTAGATAATGATCAATAAAGTTTAATTTTTTTGACTACTCATACCAAAATCAAATTGGTTTTGATCACTCATCTTTTTAGCTTATTATAAAAATTTAAAGTTCGGTTTCTGTATAAAATTCCAAATACATATTTCAAAAGTAAAATTATTATTTATATTCTCTTTATCATTTTAATTATAATTATAAATAATTAAAGTGTCCTGTAAAATCCTGTCAATTAATATTTGGATTCAGATGATAGAAGAGTTCAAAAATAGTAATTAGTTGATTTGATTAGTAACTTTTAAAAAAATTTTATTCATTATACATTCACTCAT